TCCCCTCCCCCGCGCTCCCGGCGGCGCGGCGCAGCGCAGCTCGCCCCGCACAGGCACACACAGGCTCTGGCAGCGGCGGCGGCGCTGACATCAACATGGCCGACATTTTTCCTGTGCGGTGTGCGAGCAGCAATGGACTGTGGGGGATATTGATTCAAGTTAGGAGAAGTGACAGCAACTCGGCGAGGAGCGGTACCTGCTTAGGGCCGGGCAGCCTAGGCTGGGCGCTTCGCCCTTGTTGTGCGTGGAGACCCGGAGCCTCCACATGACACATCAGAAGGGAACCTGCTGTAGGTCATTGACCGGCCCCGGCCGCTGCCGTGGACCAGGCTCTGGTTATTTCAGTGATCCTCAATAAGTTATAACTTATAGGCTCACTCTTTGCACCTCAAACCGTGAAACCAAGCACCCATATTCTCCTGCGAGGGGGACGGCTGCGAGCTGGGGGGTGTGTGTGAGAGATGGTATATGAAGCCTTTAGAACAGAAGGGGCTCTTAGTTAAGGCTCTAAGATGAGTTGATAGTTTGTGGGGGTATTTTTTAACTTCATACATGAAAGAGAGGAAGAAACCATTTTTGTAATCTGTAACAGAGAAGGCTCTCCATGTATACTGCTATCATCTGAAAGATAAGCATTCTTGCCTTTCTCTTTGCAGGCTGGCTGGAAAGAAAACCATGCAACCTTTATGAATGAATTGAAAAACCTTCAAGCTGAGGGACTTACGACTCTTGGCCAGTCTCTAAGGACAGCTTTTGATTTATTAAACTTAAATAGATTAGTAACTGGCATAGACAACTATGGGCAGGTAGGTTGAATATGAATAGGTGTAAACACTTTTTTAAAAAACACTTTCAGAGACCACACATGATTAGTTGACCAAAATAATAGCCTCTGTGAAATATGAAGAGTAAAACATAACGGAAACTATTTTACAAATAAACAGTGCTGAGACAATTGGGAAACCCATAACTAGGATGTAGTTTTGCACCCAGTTTTAATTCATTTTTTATTTCATATCTGTTTAAAACTTCTTGAGTTTTTTAAAACACAAACACAAGCATTGATTTACATTTTTTTTCAGTTCACACGTGTACATTTTTGGTATATTATGTTCAAGATAATGAAACCTTATATTTCAGCACATTACCCAATCGCATGCAGTGGTCATAAATATATTTTCTCTTACGTGTAACATAGGTGGTACCCAATCAGTTGGGGGGACTTTGGGGGTTTAGCTTCTCGCTGAAGTACACTTATTGTTAGCCACTGTGGGGACCTAGCTATTAGGTTAACTGGAACAGAGGTTTAATCAAGTATTGGTTTATTAATTAATTAGACCACTGCTTCTGTCTTTGCATATT